AGACGAAATGTCACATCAATCAAAGCACTTTTTCTCTCTGAAAAGGAATGGTGAAAGTGATGAATGCCCGACCAATGAAAAACATCAGAGAAACGAACTGGGCATTATAAAAAAGAAACTACCCAATTTCAAACTTTCCAATGCCTTTGGCACATATTCGAGGGAAGCAAAGTCGAAAGACAGAGTAAAACGTGAAATCGAACATTTGACTATCGATCTGCTCATGGTCATCGATTTTGCAGCATATAGCTGGTGGAAAGATATGGTTGGCAAGCCCAGATAGCCAGGATTTTGAAATAATGGCAAAAAGTCAGACAGTATTATGCTTATATATTCAAGGGTATCGACGACAGGTTTGGTAGCATTCAAAATCAAGGTTTTAAAAATTGATCTTGCATTTGCTGGATTGTTTGTTGCTAAAAACTGAGATCGAGTCTTACTGGACTACAAAGAGCGTTATTGACGGAGACGGAGAAAGTATACGTGTAATGGTTAATTCATCTGAAGCTCTAGAAAAGTTTCAAAAGTGGCTTGATGAATCAAATTTTCTTCCAAAATACGATCATGCAATGCTGTTCACAGGAACAAATCTGACTTATGCTGGTAGCCCTGGAAATACAGGATTAGCATTTGCATCATCGATGTGTCGAAACATATCAAACTCGTCAATAGTTGAAGATATATTCGAATACAGAACTGTCACATTTGCAACCCAGCAAATTGCACGTGCTCTTGGTACAAGAGATGATATGGACAACAATGACTGTCTCGAGTTCTTTAACTACATGATGGTCCCAAAGTTCAAGTTGCCGATAAAGTCATTCGGATCAAACAAATGGAAGTTTTCACAATGTTCCGAACAGTACATTAATGACTATATAGTAGAACTGAATGATGATGGACTAACGTGCTTGAAAGAATCATCATTAGAAGTAAGATACCCCCCTGAATTAGCCGGATTGATTACTGAACTGCCCGGTGTTACATATACTGGTAGACAGCAATGCGAAAATGCATTTGGTTTGGGCTCAGATGTTTGCCGTAAAGAAATAAAAACAGAATATTCGCAAATTTGCGGAGGACTATTGTGTACATTTCCGGGGTCAGAGTATTGTGGATTTATTCTACCAGCAGATGGAACTCCATGTGGTAACAAAAAATATTGCCATGAAGGTAGCTGTATTGAAAATAACAGTGCTCCCGCGAGCTCTGACACTTGCGCATTTGGCAATGAACCAAACATAGGCTGCTTCAACCTTGTTGTAAGTGAACCAAGTCAGTGCTACATTGCCGACATTAGACATACGTGTTGCCAGACTTGTGAAGCATTATTTACCGGGATTACTGGTTGTGAATACGGTGATAGGTCTGATGATTGTATGCGGATTGAGTGTGAGAACGGCGATCAAGATTATGCACCGAAGACATGTTGCTTAACATGCTTCGATGGACCTACACCATTTGCTAGACCACAACTGAGTACCATGACAGAAATGTCAGTGTCACATACATCTACTACTGCAACAACAGCAATAACTACAGCTGGAATTACATCAACAGCATCGAATCCTACAACAACTTCACAATCATCGATCTTACCTCTTACATATGCTAACCATACTCCTTCAACGTTTTCTTCTCTATGGTCAACAGCTGCACCAGCGAAATCATCGGATAACCCTTCCTCGTCGACTTCATATATCTCGTCTTCTACAACGTCTTCAGCCTTTATCCCCACTTCAGATAAACACGCTCCCCGTGTAGATACAACAACCATTGAAGATAAGCAAAGTACACTTGATGTTATTAAATTACCAACTTCAAGTGCTTCTTCTGCAAGTACATATGAAGAATATCAAGATATATTTGATGGACACACAACTAATATTCAACCTAATTTCGACCGCAGAATTACAACCTCAGCGTTCGATGATGTCGAATACTTAACAACAGAACTTCCAACATCTGAGAAACCTTCGGTAGATGCAACTAACAATGTTGAACAACCATCTACATCTCAGCTATTACAGTCTATAAAAACGTCTACGGCAACAACGGAGGCGTCTCAAAATCATGCATCCGCCGGATCACAACCGACAACGGAGAGTGTTCCAGAAACAACCACAGTCCGTCCTGTTCAAAGGGACAAATGTGCAATAACACCGATTTGTAACTGCATTGTTAAAGTAGCTCCAGTTTCAAGTACAATCCCTGTCTCTAGTGCGACATCTTCAAAACAAAAATCATCGGACCATAGTTCTGCAACAAAATGTATTTCTGCTAATCATAAAGGTAAGTATAGTTACAAAATATCGATATAAAATTTTGAATGCAATAAAACTCAAACTGACCTATTCTAATACATTTGTACCGTATTTATGTGCAGTTTTTTCTCTTTTCTTTTAGATCTTTTCAAAAGTAAGGAAAAAGTATATGGCAATAAGTGTTAATAATAGGTAGGTAGGTAGGTAGGTAGGTAGGTGGGTATGTGGGTGGGTAGGTAGGTAGGTAGGTAGGTAGATAGATTTCGGCAAAAGGTAAACATGCTACATGATAAACAAACACAATATAGATTAAAACAATTACAAATAAATAGATAGATAAATAAATAAATAAATAAATGAATAAATACTATATTATGTAAACCATGACATGTTCCCAAAACCACGGATAACACAAAAAAGAGAAAGCCCTTTTTCCATTGTGGCATGGCAAAGAGAGGTATTTCATAAAAGAAAAAAAATATCACTTAAGAAAAATCACATTAATGAAGGATATCATTTAAAATTATCACAATTTAAAATGTAAATTAATGTAATTCATTAAAAAGTCAGTATCACATTAAGAAATAATCACGAGCATATTAAGAAAAGATTACATTAAAGAAATATCACAGTTTAAAGTATTGCGATTTATTATCACAGGGACAATGGTGTATTAAGAGTAACTTAAATATGAACATACAGTTATGAGTAAGTAAGGAAAGAACATGCCACAGATTACACTCTTCAAAAAAGGGAAAGTTTTTAAAGTCTTAATAAAAAAATTAAAAAAATAAAAAAATGAAACAGTAAACCTGAGCCGAAAAAATAATTCAATAAAAAAAAGAAAACATATAAAAAAAATTGCAAATAGAATAACGAATGGTATTATTTGTCTTGATGTTTTCCATGGAAGTCTCTCCTCTCCCAGCTATCACTTAGTTAACATCACGTTTAATTTATTAATGGCAGTTTATTCTCTATAGATATACTTTATGGCGTTCAGCCTGTTTGGGAAATTATTCTGTGCCAGGTGTTGCATATAACACAAATTATTGACGTATATTATTGTATTGTTTTAAATTCATAACATATGTGACAAAATAGTTTTACAAATGCATCTTTAATAGAACATTTATTGATGGGCTAATCTTAATGCTACTTTATATACATATATTTGCAAGTGACAATTTATCACACTGTTATTTCTTTTATATACAGACACCAACCAGTCGGTGATAAACAGGTTATTTTTTAAAAGTCTGGCCGGGTCAATGCAGAAAAGTCAACGTCGTATTAGTAACAGCGTATACCGAAACATAAAGGCGTTATATACAGCTATCAGTGGACATCTTAAGGGATTTCATCGAGAGTATGAAAACGAAAACGAGTCCGGTCGAGAAGGAAATGAGATTCGGTCAAATGATGACGACGATGTGAACAGAAAACTAAAGCCTATTTGGAAGAAGCAGTATCGTGATTTAATCAGTAATCTGAAGAGAGACATCAGGGAAATGCGCTACAAAGTTCTTGCTTTACTTAATAGGCATCTTAAGGACATAAGTAGTTAAAACTGAGACGCATTTGTTAGTACACGAATATATAATAGTATCCAGACTTCCTGAATAAATATCAAGATTGGAAAGTATATCACGCATTGTTCGATCTACTTTTTGAATTGAAAGAAATCAAGGAAATGTCTTTATAATATGGTAAACAGGTCAAATTGTGCAGTATCCATAATTTACGCATAGGCTTTTATCAGAGAAATGTATTATAATGCACTAACAATAAAAGTAGGACTTCTTTAAAGGCACATTGTGCCTCAGAAATGAATATTTTTTCATCTTTTATAATTCCATTTTCCGTTGTTGATGTTATTTTTTTTTCACTGCACAAAACTTTTATGTCCTCTGATAAAAGATGTTGTCTGTTTCAAATATAATCTTAACAAACTTTTTCCAGAATATTCAATAAAAAATACTGTCATGATGGCAAATAGCAAAGAACCATACAAGACAGCGAGTAATATGGCTGTTCGTCCAGTTTCAAGCTGGTTGAATGGTAATGCTCAGCACTGTAAACGTTAACATAATCATCCAATCTCACTTAATATTAATTGATATCTCAAGGGAATTAACTCCTGCTATTGTAATATTGATGATCAATCAAGAGTTGTACATTTCAATTCTTGTCCTGAATATTTTATGCATTTTTATCACAAGGAAGGAAAACTTAAAAAGACCATAGGTATAAAAGGTGTTTAAGAGAAAAAGAAACAAAAAGGCATTGGGTGCCGTACTGAATGGATCAATCCGCCAGACTTCCAGAACAAATATCAAGATTGAAAAGTACATAACGCATTGTCCGATTACTTTGTGAATAGTGCGTAGAGTTTGAAAATACCAAAGTATTCTCGTTATAATAGGGTAAACAGTCAATGCATTGTCAAATGGTGCAGTGTCCATAATTAACACATAGGCTTTTGTGTAAGAAATGTATTAATTACAAAAAAGTTGAACTTCTTTATTTAAAGGCACATTAATTATGCCTCAGAAATGAATATTATTATTTTAGGGAAAACATGTGTATTATAACGTTAATTTAGTTAATGAATCCATAGCGTGTTAGATGCTTTTCATAATGTCTAACAAAGTAGTGTTTTGACTTCCATGCATCAGAGCAAAGGTGGTTCAGGTAATATTAATTCCTTTTTTGGAAACTATAACAGGGCTCTAAAAATAAAAAAGATTTTGAGAAATAGAAATAAAAACATTTATGTAGTAACTGGGCCTTCAATATGCTTATTGATCAGTAGTATAGTTTTCATCTTAAAAAATCCGACTAAGATAGATCTACATATGCTTAAAATATAAAGCAGTTGCATTTCTGAACCAAGGACCTCCAAATAACTCACCTTTTGTTATTGCCATCTTATTTTCTTGGATATTATAAGAATATATATCATATAAAACTGATATAAAACTTAATTTTTTCACTGTATAGCTATTGCGTTGGTCAAGTGTGACCAACTGTTGTGCTTTAAAATAGAGCTAGACATTTCATTATTTTGCCAAACCATCCTTTTTTATTACATAAGTCATATACCAGTAGCTATGTCTAAAAAAGGATATTTCAATGATCGTTTATCATTTAATTTTTTTAAATTCTATTTTACTTGGCCAAGCATACATTTACAAAGGCTGATTTTTTTCCCCAGCGGTGGGCCTCTTCACGATTTTCGGGTAACGGATACCGTGTACGAGATACTAGTTGTTATTACGGTGACGCGCACCTGCAGTGTTGTTGTGGTTACAATTTAGCGTAAAAATGGCGACCGATGGAGAAACTGGTAAACCGAGGGTAGATGAAACTAACTTGTATTTACAAAATCATCGAATACTGGAGCTATTTAATAATATGACATCGCAGTTAATTTTTAATAGACCAGGTAAATATAGTATTTTTCCTTCAACAATTTATTTGACTCGTCACAGTCATTTGTAAGCTGTTAACAACAGCCAAAATTTATTTTAATTTAGATCTATAAAAATAATCTTAAAATAATGATAAACAAACCCGTTCGTCTAATATTGTGTAGCCGGATTAGTTTACGGGGTGACTACTTTCCCGAATGGTTCGAGCACTGGGCCTAATAAAAGCAACAGTAACAGCACTCCAGGGACTGCCACTGGGCCTAATAAAAGCAACAGCTAGTAACAACAACAAAACATATCAGATTGATGACATTTTATTTTGTGCAATAAGAATAAATTTAATTAATACTGATAATAGATAAATGTTCCCAATGTTTAATTCATCTCAATATGATTTTATCAAGTGTAATGTCTGAAGTCAGGGCCAAAAAACCCTTCTTTGTAAATTGTAGAGGCGGAATATAGGCTGCTTCCCCAACCAAAATAGCCTCTTTTTTCACCAGTCTTTTGAAATTTCCCATAGAATTTTGGACAAAATTAAATGATGGTGTTGAATTAAGGTCTTTTACTGCCTTATTAGTAATTCCCAGTGCTTTTTGCTTTTCTATTTTGAAGAACTTGTTAAAATTTTGTGTTAAATTTGAGACCCCTTTTCCCAAAGTATGCAAAAATCATGTATATTTTCCCCAAGAAAAAGGCTGAGGCCCCTTCCCCAAAAATGATGTTTTGGCCCTGGAAGTATTAACTATCACAACTTAACAAATGGCAGTGTAGCCCATAGAGGTGTTACTATTAACTTTCCTCAGGCTTCTTACCATTACCTTACCACAAACTTAGGACCAGTAACAATATACTTATGTCCAATCCAATAAGATATCCACTGATTACAGAAATGCAAGCAGGAGTTTTTATTTAACTCACAGTATAATTGTCTACATGGTTTTAAAATTTCTCAAAGTATACCAAATTTTTAACAAATCATCAGGATTTCATAATAAATTAATATACTGTGCTCCTCTTAGTTCACGGTACTTTCCTCTTAGTTCACGGTACTTAACGCTTCGAAATAAGAAAGAAAGCAACAAATGAAACTTGTGGTACAAAAATTTTCATAAGCTGTAACATATAGGTATTTTCTGTTGTATGACACAAGGAAACAACAATATATATTTAGTCAAAATCAGTTTTGAAAACAGTATGTCATCATTTAAATTGTGCTAAATGATGTTACACTTCAGTGTTTTCATGTTTCAGTTAAAATTTCTACATGTTATTTTTCTTAATTTTAGATATCAAAACTATAAATTTATTTTTTCAACAAACAAGAATATTTAGAAAAAGATGATTGTTTCAGATGTATCCACAAATTTAGTGGAAATTTGAAAAATGTTGTTCTATTTTAAGTAAAAATCTAGAGATTTAGAATAATTTGCTCAAAAACTTTATCGTTTAGGTGTATCAATTCTGACCAATTTTAACACTGGTCTCAGGAAAATCTGTCATTACCGTGAAATAAGTGATGACGCGGAATTAGTGATGTTGAGTATATTATACTGTTTTAACAATAACAAAAACAATTTAATATCAAAACTATGTTTAATTTGAAAATGAAATGTTTATTATTATTTCTCTTAATCTTAATGTACAATATTAATATAAATTTTCAACAGTTATATTTGATGTAATTATTTCCCTTTATATATATATATATATTTTTGCATGTTAAGAAATATCAAACTACAAAACTATTTCAATTGCACTGCTACGAAGCAGTTTACTTGTGTGACAGAAAGCAAATGTCAAATGTTGTTTGAAATTAATGGGAAAACATAACAAGAAAAAAGAAAAACATTGTTAAATTTATTTGTTACATTATCGATACATTAATATTTTATTTTACAGCTGACCCCAAAAAATTCATGATTGAGAATCTCGAGCGACTTCAAAAAGCCAAATCAACAAAAAGAGACTGCCCTTGTTTGTTTGATGATAGCAATATACAGTCAGTTTATGGAATGTTAGATCCAACCAACAGAGGCTACATAACCCTTAAACAATATTGCGAAGGTAATTTTTATGAATTTATTGAACACATGTGTTCATTACATGTACATGTATGTTGAATTTAAAATATCTTTAATCCAATTCATTTAAAAAAATGCAACATGTCATTAGAGATCTAAGTTTGCGTTAAGTTTGCCTGATTCACACACAAATAAAATCTTAATGCTCAATTACTCACAATTGAATTACAATGCTGATGTACAAGAAAGATTGAGTATCCATGGGTTGCCATGATTTGTTACCTTAAGCATTTTGAGGTGCTTAAGTTTGATACACTTTCTTTGGACGATAGCTCAGTTGGTTAGACCACTGACTGTCACTCCTGAGGTCCGGGGTTTGATCCTGGGTATCACCCTTGGGAATTTTCAGAGACACTTTCAATGTTTCCCACCTAAGTAACCAGAGGTGTACTGGTAAGAAATCCAGGTAATCTTTGCATGTATCAGTGCTATATACTGGCCATATAAAAGAACCAAGGGGTCTATTCAATAAGAGCTAGGGACTGGTTCCCGGATTCCCTTGTATCGCATAGCTGTCTCTGAAGTGACTTGTCTAGAGTCATGTCTATGTCCCCGCGAGGGGTTTGACATTAATGGAAGATAGATAGATAGATTTGGGGATACACATTAAATTTAATTTCATGTTTAAAAATATCCAACTGTTTTCTTTCTTAATAAAACATTTGTCAACATACACATTAACAGATGGTACGTGTTGACTCTTAAGGACAGGGATGAATTTATGACAACCGACATTATGTTAGTAGCATTCCATGCTATATATAATAATCAAATAAAACCCATGTTTTTGTTTATTTTTTTTTAATTGTGGATTTTATTTTTTCACATGAATTTTTGTTTTGATTTATACAGCATTAGAGACTCTTGGAATCAAAGGATATGATGCTCAACCTGACGGCGCCATGGACAACAGAGTTACATTTGACACATTTTTACATGCAGCGTAAATATATTTTGATAATTAAATTCTAGAAACCTAAAATATAAAAGGAAGTATGCAGTTTAAAGTTTGATAGTTATAGATATTCAGATTTCAGTTTGACTTTGATAGTTAGTTGATATTAAGATCTAAATATATTGTACCAAAATCATAATTTGTTTTATAAAGCTAATAAGCTTTCTTTTGATATGCCAGCCTTTATGAGTATATTAATTACATATGTAACTATACAACATCTAAATTTTATTAAATATCACTCTATAGTTTTATTTGGATCAACAGATGACATCGATATTGATTGTTTTCTATAAATCATCATATAAAATATTTGATTTTATGTGGATTTAAGTTTTCTGTAACTTGAATGTCACATTTAAAGGTCAATCTTAAAGGGACTCTACTGAGGTTTTTGACATGATGGTACTGAAAATATTTTTTCCAAATAAATGTACCATTTGATGTAGGTTTCAACCACTAATCTTTGTGCAAAATTTCAGATCATTCTCGCACTTCGTTTTTCCAGAATAATTATTCAAATTGTAAAAAATGGCCCAAAATGAAAAGCGTTTAAACGCTTTTCACTCAAATCGGGCTAAGAAAAGCATAAAAATACAATTTTACAATATATTTCAAAGTATATTTCTAAAATCTTAATAATCTTTGCTTATATTTCTGTTTTAAGTTCCCCAGCTTATCTATGCAAGAAATTCAAATGGTATGTTTTAGGCTTTTAAACCTTAGTGGAGTCCCTTTAAACAAAAGGATAATTGTGTTAATTCTTACAATAAGAGTATGTAAATAATTGGATTTCATATATAAAGTAACAAACAATGAAAACGGTCTTGAAAAGGTTAAGTCTGCTGCAAAAATAACTATAATGCATCTCTTCGATTTTTTGTTCTGTATGTGTAGCTTTAAGATTTATGCTTTGTTGATATGATTGGAAAATATTCTTTTTTTTTCAGGAGGGATGGACTTCAAAAAGCATCAGCAACTTTCATGGCGTCATAGTTTATAAACATTTGACAGCATAGTTCATATTTACTATATAAGTTCATTCAAGGATAAGTTTAACCGTGGAAGCAAAAGGTGGTTAAGTTGAATTTAACATGATTAACAACAGAACTGCTATATCTTTGTTGTAAATAATTGATGTTTAAAAATTTTGCTTTCAAAACGCTGAAATATGTTATAAGAATACCTTAAAAGTCTGTTATAAGAATACATTAAAAGTCTGTTGTATAAAAATTACAAAACATTCATGCTGTACCAGTAAAATAGAGCAGGAACATACCCTTTCTACATTGTTATTTATAATAGTCTGTATATTTTCTTTTTTTAAATCTCACACTGATTGGTAAACTTACATGAAATTACTGTACTGTTCTACAATTTTGTATGATAATATTCAACAGGTTTTTACTTTTTTTAAGTTGTTTAAGTTGATCTTGCTAAATTTGAATAATGGACTCGCCCTACTTGGGCAAGTCCATAAGTAGTTCAAGGGATTTCATTATCAAAACGCTTAAGTGTCGCAGATAGGCCAATGGACAGGGTCTGTACTGGTGGCATACTGTCAAGTCAATACAGCTTCTGGTTAAGATTGGTTATTTGTGCCTGTTAAATATGATGATATTTATGATTGAAATTGACTGTGATTATGTGTTATGTGTCATTTTAATTGTCATTTGTTAAATAAAATAAATTCATATAGTATGGAATGTTTTGTTTTTAAGAAACAAGATAATCTGTGATTTTAAGAATACATGCATGCATTTATTTTCTCCTTCTGAAGCCCAATCACCAATGCACATAAACTCAACACATTTTCTGACTGGCATCTTAGTGTCTCATTAATACTATACAAATATGTCTAAAAATACCTGTTTTTAATATTCAGTTGAACAGTTTTATGAAACATCCTTTAATCTAAGGGTTTTTTTCTCATCCTTTAATACATGTATTAGAATTGACAAATGTAAAAAGACTATAAAAACCATGCAGAAGTCTCTCTGTATCAGTTATTCATAAAACCTATTTTGTTCTTTTGAGATATGCATCTTTTTATAGCAATGGAATATATTATAGAATTCACTTTACCCATGATTGTCTTGCCAAAAATTACCAAGCTCTAAGCGCAAACAGTGACAGTGCATGAAATATTATTAGTCCCCTACCGGTTTACCGGAGGGGACTTTAGGTTTACCCTCCGTCCGTCTGTCCGTCCACAAAACTGGATCCTGCGATAACGCAAAAAGTACTGAAAATATTTTAATGAAACTTGATATATGGATAGATGGCAATATGGAGATTATGCACGTCTTTTTCTTTTCTTCCTAGGTGGCTATGGCAACAAATAGACTGAAAATATGGCAAATTTTACACATAACCTGGATCCCTCGATAACGCAAAAAGTACTGAAAATATTTTCATGAAACTTGATATATGGATAGATGGCATTATGGAGATTATGCACGTCTTTTTCTTTTTTTCCTATGCTGAAAATTGTGGTTGCTATGGCAACAAATAGACTGAAAATATGGCAAATTTTACACATAACCTGGATCTAGTGATAACGCAAAAAGTATTGAAAATATTTTTATGAAACTTGACATATAGGTAGATGGCAGTATGGAAATTATGAACATCCTTTTCTTATCTTCCTATGTTGAAAATTCTGGTTGCTATGGCAACAAATAGACTGAATTGCAAGATTTCTGATTCTAGTTTTTAAGTTTCTTCACTATAAGTTCTTTATTTCTTATGGTATTTTCTTCATTCAAACTATAAGTTGCTAGTCATCAACCACATCATAACTCTAGGACAAAATTTATCCGAATTACCTCCCTTGAACTTAAAATTTTCATGAAAAAAATATTGTTTTTTTTAAAAACTTCTTTTTTTCTGCATGTATCTACTTCAAACTTCATATAAATGTTTCTTATTATCACTCAACATTTTTGAGAAAGTTCAATACTCTAGCAAGACTATTTCCAGAATTATGCCCCTTTTGAACTTAGACTTTTTTTTGAGAAATTGGTAATTTTTACTCCAACTTCTTCAATCATGATAGGATTTTCTTCAAACTCCCACATCATAATAACAATTATGACAAGGTTTATAAATCTAGCATCCATATTTCCAGAATAATCTCCTCCTTAAACTTTTAATTTTTCCTATTCGTTCTTTTAACTTTCATTTACTTCAAATTCAAAATAAACATTCATTATTCATACCTTCATTACTAATTGTTCTTTGTTACACTCACATCATGTATGACATCTTGCATCTTTATTTCAGGAGTTATCTCCTTTTTAAAAATTTTGCTTTTAAAAATGTTATATTTTGATAACGGGGATGTTTAAAAAATAACTTTAGAGTGTCCTTCAGTCTGTCCGTCTGTCTGTCTGTACATAAAAACTGTTTCCTGTGATCACTTTTAAAGAACTTTTTCAACAAATTTACTTAAAATAGAAACATAAATGAATGGCCAGTGGCCCTTCAGAATGTTGCTGGGGTTCTAACCGGTAGGGGACTTATGGATTGCTTGCAATACTATAATAATTGCTTGTTTTCCTTGTAAGAGGTGATGTAGTACAAAATGTATATCTTCATAGATTTGTATTCATGGTTGGATAATATCATACTTTCCTTTAACCTTTTCCCTCATATAAGAATGTTTCGACGGCTTTTTGCCCCCCCCCCCCCCTTTTTGAGGCCTCAAACAGTGAAAAAATGCCCTATTTAGGCCCCAAACACTGTTTTTCGTTTGAGAAATGTTGTTAATAAAAGTGACCACTTTTTCGTCGCCGTCCCCCATCCAAATGTTACTTCTGTTTGGGGGGTTTGAAGGGGGGCGGGGTCCCCCTCATCGCCAAGAAAATTTTGGACATGTGACAGGCTAAAAATGGCCTCAGGTCGATCTTAGGGTAACTAGTAACCGACGCTGAAAAGCCTTTAATTTACTTTATCTCAATTCATTGAGAAGTTGTGGCACTTTGAAATCAGTTTTGATGGAAAAAAACAATGCAAAATAGTGATTTTTGGCAATTTTGAGACGTCCCCCCATTGCCATGGTAACAGGAAATTTACGATTGAGCATGCTGTTACAGAGGCTATGTTGTACTACATTAACATTTATGCCAAGTTTCATCAGTATAGAGGCTTTTCAATGAAAACGGCCATTTTTCACAATATGCTCATGGGGTAAAAGGTTAACTTAACTTTCCTGTAAAATGTAAGTTATAAAGTGCAAATATTGAAAATTTTCACTCTGCTTACATACCCTGATTTACCAGATTTACAGTTCATTTGATCTGATATATTATCCAATGTAAACCACTGGAATAACTTGTAATGTGTCAAAATATGTATAAATAGGCTCAAATAGCCCTTCCTTCATACATATGTACTTGTGACGGGATGGAAAGATAGTGTTTAAAAATAGTAATTATATCGTTATTTATTTTCATAAAACATGCAAGCTATCACTTATGAGTTGTGAATGTTTTAACATTTCTTAAATTATTTAGTAAATATATTTTCTGAAGTTCTTTAGTCTATTGATATATTTTCTTAATTTTTAGCTCACCTGAGCTTGCTCAGGGTGAGCTTTTAGGATCGGTGGATGTCCGTCGTCCGTCCGTCCGTCGTACGTCCACAATTGCTTGTGAACACTCTAGCGGTCGCATTTTTGCCTCAATCATCATCAAACTTGGTCAGGATGCTTATCTAGTTGAAAGCTCGGATGAGTGAGTTCGAACATGGCTCATCTCGGATGAAAAAACTAGGTCACAAGAGCTAAAAATAGAAAAACCGTTTGTGAACACTCTAGAGGTCACATTTTGACCCAATCATCATCAAACTTGGTCAGGATGTTTGTCTAGGTGATAGCTTAGATGAGTTTGAACATGGGTCATCTCGGATGAAAAAGTAGGTCACCGAGCTAAAAAATAGAAAAACCTTGTGAACACTCTAGTGGTCACATTTTTGAACCAATCTTCATCAAACTTGGTCAGATTGCTTGTCTAGTCAATTGCTTGGATGAATTCGAACATGGTCATCTCTGATGAAAAAACTAGGTCACAGGAGCTAAAAATAGAAAAACCTTGTGAACACTCTAGTGGTCACATTTTTGCACCCAATCATCATCAAACTTTGTCAGGATGCTTGTTTAGATAATAGCTCGGATGAGTTCGAATTATGGGTCATCTCGGATGAAAAAACTAGGTCACCGGAGCTATAAATAGAAAAAAACCTTGTTAACACTCTAGCGGTCACATTTTTGCTTCAATCATCATCAAACTTGGTCAGGATGCTTATCTAGTTGATAGCTTGGATGAGTTCGAACATGGGTCATCTCGGATCAAAAAGTAGGTCACCGGAGCTAAAAAATAGAAAAACCTTGTAAACACTCTAGCGGTCACATTTTTGCATCAATCGTCATCAAACTTGGTCAAGATGCTTGTCTAGGTGATAGCTCGGATGAGTTTGAACATGGGTCATCTCGGATGAAAAAGTAGGTCATTGGAGCTAAAAATAGAAAAACCTAATGTTAACTTTCTAGTGGTCACATTTTTGCATCAGTCATCATCAAACTTTGTCAAGATGTTTGTCTAGGTGACAGCTGGATGAGTTTGAACATGGGTCATCTCGGATGAAAAAGTAGGTCACCGGAGCTAAAAATAGAAAAACCTTGTTAACACTCTAACGGTCACATTTTTGTAATCAATCATCATCAAACTTGATCAAGATGCTTGTCTAGGTGATAGCTTAGATGAGTTCGAACATGGGTCATCTCGGATGAAAAAGTAGGTCACCAGAGCTAAAAATAGTAAAACTTGTTAACACTCTAGTGCGGTCACAATTTTGACTCAATTGTCATTTAAACTTGGTCAGGAAACTTGTCTAGGTCATTGCTGGGAAATAAATCGAACATGGGACATCTCGGATGAAAAACTAGGTCACAGGAGCTAAAAATAGAAAAAATCTTTTTAACACTCTAGTGGCTACTGTCCTAATCCAAATATTCTGTTAATTGGTCTGAGAGTTTGTTTTGATGATTTCTAAGTCAAGATCGAACATGGGTCATCTTGGATGAAAAAAACTAGGTCACACTGCCCAAATATGGAAAAAACCTTGTTAACATTCTAGTGTCACATTTTCGACTCAATTATCATCAAACTTGGTCAGGATGCTTGTCTATGTAATTGCTTGGAAGAGTTTGAAATTGCATGTGAAACTAGGTCACCGGAGCTAAAAATAGAAAAATCTTGTTAACACTCTAGTTGCTACTGTTTTGATCCAAGTATCCTGGAAATTGGTCTGAAAGTTTGTTTTGATGATTTCTAGGTCAAGTTTGAATATGTGTCACCTGGGTAAAAAACTAGGTCGCACTGCTCAAATATAGATAATCCTTGTTAATACTGTAGTGGTCACATTTTTGACTCACCTGTCATGAGACTTGGTCAGAATGCTTGTCTAGGTAATTGTTTGGATGAGTTTGATGGGTCAGGTGAGCGATCTAGGGCCATCATGGCCCTTTTGTTATTCTTTTTATTTGTTTATCTTTAATTGTTTTAATAATCTTGGCCAACTCCATAAGAGTAAGCACTATCTTAAATGAAACATAAAATAACCATTTCATAGGCAACCCCATAACTGTAAATCTATCTAAATCAAAAACATGTTCAACAGTCTACAGCTACATAACCATTTCATAGACAACTTCAAAAGAATGTTAGTACATGTAAACCACCAGGGCTGACCAATTCATACATATACAGTAAAAAAGAGTTTAAGAAGGCATTATAATGTACCACATCACCTAATTCATAATGTACCACATCACTTAATTCAGACTTCTTTATTTCATGGCCAATAGAAGAGGAGATGAAAAGCCTGATGAAAACATCCACACACTATTATAGCCATCAACATAGAGAGGCAATAGAGGAAATTTTATAAACCAGTTAACCCTGTCTTCACCAATGCCATAAGATAAGAATTTAAATGCATTCACCTTAACCCATAATTAGCCAAAGCCATTAAAGAAGGAATCAGATATAAGTTTATTACCATTTCTCAATCAACACCATACAGAGGTAATCAGATGTTAACCAGTTAAAAATTTCTCAGTCAACATCATACAGAAGTAATCAGAGGTTAACCAGTAAATCATTTCTTAGCCAACACCATACAGAGGTAATCAGATGTTAACCAGTTAAAAATTTCTCAGTCAACATCATACAGAGGTAATCAGATGTTAACCAGTTAATCATTTCTTAGTCAATACCATACAGAGGTAATCAGAGGTTAAACGGCTAATCATTTCTTAGTCAGCATCATACAGAAGTAATCAGAGGTTAACCAGTAAATCATTTCTTAGTCAATACCATACAGAGGTAATCAGATGTTAACTCAGTTAATAATTTCTTAGCTAACATCATAAAGAGGTAATCAGAGGTTAACCAGTTAATAATTTCTTAGTCAACATCATACAAAAGTAATCAGAGGTTAACCAGTTAATCATTTCTTAGTCAACACCATACAGAGGTAATCAGATATTAACCGGCTAATCTTTTCTTAGTCAACATCATACAGAAGTAATCAGTTGTTAACCAGTTAATAATTTCTAAGCCAACACCATACATAGGTAATCAGATGTTAACCATTTAATAATTTCTTAGCCAACACCATAAAGAGGTAATCAGATGTTAACCGGCTAATCATTTCTTAGTCATTATCATACAGAAGTAATCAGATGTTAACCAGTTAAAAATTTCTTAGCCAGCATCATACAGAGGTAATCAGATGTAAACCAGCTAATCATTTCTTAGTCATTATCATACAGAGGTAATCAGATGTTAACCAGTTAATAATTTCTTAGCCAGCATCATACAGAGGTAATCAGATATAAACCAGCTAATAATTTCTCTAAGCCAACATCATACAGAGGTAATCAGATGTAAACCAGCTTATCATTTCTTAGCCAACATCATACAGAGGTAATCAGATATTAAACGGCTAATCATTTCTTAGTCAACATCATACAGAGGTAATCAGATGTTAACCAGTTGATCATTTCCTAGCCAACATAAGAGAGGCAATCAAATGTAAATTACCTTACCCTTTCTGAGTAAAAATCATAGAAGATGTAAACCAGATAACCATTTCTAAGCCGACATAAGAGAGTCAATCGGATGTACTATTAAGCCACTTAATCTTTTCTTAGCCAACATTAGACAGAAAATTCGTAAGAAATCATGAACTACCCAATTCTTAGTCTTTATCATAAGAGTTTCTACAAGCAATCAACATATTTATGGAACGGTATAGATTAAAGAATGTATGTATAAACTAAAGCATGTATCCGCTTTACAAAAAACAGAAAGAACAATACTAAGGAGATGCCATACATTACAAAGATAACAAGATTTAAAAGTATTTACCTCGAATCAGAGCGACTAGCACCTTTTTCTTGATGATGATGATGATGATGATGCCAATAATTTGAGTCGTAAATATTTAAGATAAAATGGCAGCCTCCGTGAGAAGTGGTAAACATTTATATTTTGCTTAAATATATGTGATCTATTCTACGTGAATTCAGTGCATATTTGTGAAATAAGACAGTATCTCATAATTTACATATAATGGATATTTGATTGAAACTGATAGTACACGGAAACAGATAGAATTGATTGACAACAAAGTTGTACTATACTCGTACGGAAGAGTAGGCGGATACCCATTGATATTGAGCACTCGGAAATAGATTTGCTCTACAGCGGAAAGCTTTAATTTAAAAAATTAATTAGCCATGAATGAAAAGCATTGACATCAAAACAAAAATCTAGATCACCTGGAGTTAGCAAATTTATGCTTATCAATTCTAAAATTCAAGAAACTTAACAAACGGCACAAAGCTCAGCCTCAAAGCACAGGCACGAGTATCGGACCTGGGAAGAAAAAATATGACCAGATTGATAAAAAAAACTGTGTTCATCTTAAAAGTGTCTCTAGCCCTTCCCGTTCATGCAATGTCTATCAAGTGATTTTGACCCGTACTCCGCTGACATACATGTTATTAGTCTATGTTTACTGTACGTACCGAATCGTTGTGCCGCAATTCTGTCTACCAAGGATTTTTAGCACGAATTCGCTCGTTTCCTGATAGATATTTCATGAACGGGAAGGGCTAGAGACTTGGGATCAGTCTCATTTGGAAGCTTAATACAAACGTGAAATAGTGATAAAAGTTTTTTTTAATTGTGAGGCCAATTGTTTTCACAACGGCCTGGGAAATGAATACCTTGCTTGTAGGCTCGAATCTGGAGTTTCCGGCCTTCTCTTAACTTATAGTATATTTTTAAAGGGTGTCATTATTTACATTTTTTGTGTGTTTTTTTTGACACTTTTAAGATGAACACATATTTTTTAATCAATCTGGTAATATTTTTTCTTCTTAGGTCCGATACTCGTGCCTGTGCCCATACATGTGAACCCTACCGATTTGGGCGGTAGACTACCGATTTTGGCCAACTAAGACCCCCCTACTGCTCGGGGTTTACAAACTACCGATATTTCATTTCAAAAGCAATAAAAATTTTACAACACAAGCGTTTCGGTAATCATGATCAGTGTAAACATTTATTGACTGGTTTACCGATATCGATTCGTTTTACCCATCCACAGTCTGTCTATTTCACTAAAAATGTAACACAGTCTAATTACCTTGACCTTGGTATCGGCAAATTTGTTTGTATATTGTCAGTTTTTCACAGCTTGACTTCGGGGTTTATAATTGCTGATAACTGTAATTAGGCACATGCGAGGGAGACTAAAATCTGGTAAGTACCGTTTATTGTTAAACAAATACTGTTACTGTCAATTAATGCCAATTATGTAATTTTGAATGAAAATTGTTAATTGTCATGGGGATTAACACCATCCACGACAGGTGTCTACAAAATGTAATATTCTGTAAGGCTATGATTTACATCTAATTGGAAGGATCAATTTAAACTGTTTTAAATTATGAAATGATGAATAATATATTAGGTATGATAATTGATATTTTTTTCTGTTTCAGGGATCAGAATTAGCCCAACAAATTGTGCACTTTAGGGCTTTTTTTTATATATACGATGGTCGCCCTTAAAGACAGACATCTATGAAATATCAGATTATAAAATCGGTCTGTCTTGCCGTCGAAAAATTGAGACTAGGATCAGAATATACCATGGAAGCAATGCATTGGGTATGGGTCTGACAACGCTAGTGTCATGGTTGGCCGTCACAACTCTGTCTGAGAAGCAACCTGATGTGTCTGATATGGGCTGTGAATTTAGCCAACACTTGTGTACAGGGAAGTCAAAAAACATGTATGACATATAAAGACAGTTCTAATTGTGTAAAGTGTGTAAGTGAAAGTTGAGTAAATTACATAAACATCAAAACACAAGTGCAGTGGACAAAACATGTATGTTTTATAAAGAAAGTTTTTTAATGATAAAATTGAGTTGTTAATTAGTTATCATGCAAAATAAAATGTTTTTAAAGAACTTGTAGTTAATGCTTTTAATTATTGTGTGTTAAGACCTTCCTGTACGCAAAAGTCCGGTTTCCAAAAATCTCCCTCCCAACAGACTCAATCTACCTACTTTTTGGGTCAAATCTCCCTACTTGGCACCAGAAAAAGTTCACATGTATGTGTGCCTCAAAGGTCTAACTGCAACGAATATGTCTTAATTTGTTAAAGAACAACAACAACAAAAAAACAATTGCAAGCTTTTCCTTCTGAAATATATTTTATACATGTGTTTGCTAAATAAGCTGTAGGAATGAATTTAGATCGGTGATACTTAAAATAAGCTGACCATTGAATATTTGGGTTTGATCCTTAAAAATTTTGTGTAGCGGATCATTGATCCTCGTGTTTCAGAGTCTTACGAACACCCTAACAGGGTGTTCGTTTGATCTAGACCTTGGGTCTTCACCCGTGGAAATTCTGAATGCACTTGATTGACACATCATAAAATCAGCTTGCATGTCATTTTTGACCAGTGATAATTTCTGATGGATGCATGGAAACTAAACTGTTTGTCAAACACTGTGCATCAACAAAGTATTTAGCCCCGTCTTCAGGTACAGTAGCCAGTAGGCGTGACGAATTATCCGTATTAAAGTGGTTTAACTTTAGCCAATCACTGACAGGTACACTCGCTGTTTGTATCTGATAGCGAGAAGTAAACCGCTAATCAATATATATGGCATATGATGTGAAGATAATAATTTTCAATTAAATCATTTTCCTACTTGGAGGGCCTTTTTCAAAATATCCTTAAAATTCACCAATATGATGGGCTGTTTTCAAAGTTTGCCTAAATTTTCTTTAAAGTATATTGGTGGATCTTGTTAAATATAATGTACTTTAACAGTCTAGATTTTATTTTATTGGACTTAGAAAATATCAGGTACCATATTTTATAATAAATTTGGCATAATTTAGTCAATAAATATCAATAATAATTCTATAATTAAAATGAAACACTTTTTTCTTTCCAAGAGTGATCCAAGAGTCACATAAATAATATTCAAAGAAAGAAAAAAAAATTGCCTCCTCTGGGGTTTGAACCCGAGCCCCTCAGTTTCAATGAAGTTGACAGTAGTTCTAGCCTATTTGAATGCACTTCAAAGTGAAGCTAATGCATTAGGTGGGTCATACATGTACCTTAATATAATTTTTAGATACAGTACGCTTAGCGCGGATTTTGCAAAACCCGCGTGTCCCCGCGGATGAGACTCATCGCGGACAAAAATTTGCTCAAATATTGTCCGTGTGACCCTGCGGACAAATTTTTCACCACCGCGGACATAAATCTACAGCTGTAAGCGTTTCCCCCGCGGAACACAGTTGTTAATTGCTGGGGAACGCGGTGGTCAATCACCGTGGACAGCAGTGGTATTCATCATGAAAACGATTGAATTTATAAGTATTTTATGGAACTTGTTAAAACTTTATGAAATAATTGTACAGTTAAGAGTCTAATTAAATAATTTTTTTGCCTTTATTTTCCCTTTCAGAATGTTTTTGGACGTCAATTTCAGAAGTTGCAACAGCTTGCGTCCGGGCCCGTACTGCTAGTCAAAAGTTATTGCAACCTGTATTTTTTCTGTGTCTAGACCCTGATTATTTAAGTTAACGTAATAATGCATTTATTTACATGTGAATAGACAGAAGGACTCTATTAATATTTCATCGAGGATTGTAAAAATTTGGGGTGCTGTTATTTTTGTTGCAAGACATGAAATAATTATGGGGATGTAGTAAGAAATGTACTGTTAAAATTCAAAACTGTATAATGTGATCCTTAACCAAAGAAATATCTTTTATATCAAAGAAAAGGCATCCTCAGTAACCCAGGCCGTATACCGGTATCGGTATTAAAAAGTAGTATTTACGGATAGTGTACCGTGGATTCTGGCGATGAGAAAATAAACAATTAAAATTATTTTAAAAATGCAAGAACTGCGTATAAATTTCTTATTCTTCATGTTAAAATAAAAGCATATCCACGGTCGTAGACTTATGTAAGTTTTTTTGTTTGTTTATTATTTTCTTTTCTTAGATTTACTTGTTCTGACCCCCGCGTTACCCCGCGAAACATGGATGACTGATTTTAACGATAATGTGACTGCAATGGTCGTTTTTTGGTCCGCGGTGGAAACAACTAGACACCGTGGATAGCGGGAGAAATAATTGTTTTTATCGCAGACCTCCATGGCGTTTGTCCGTGGTAGAAAAAAATTCCGCGGTGGTATCGCGGAAAAGGCAAAATCAGCGGTGAGCGTACTGTAGATATACAGATCTTTTAACAAAAATTATTAGAATTTAACACACTAGTCTAATTTACGTGTTTTTAAGTCCCATTATTATTAAGTCACATTACCCCTTACACTCTTACAAGCATTTATCATTTTCAATGATACCTTTTTCTTGCAGATGATACACTGTTCATCAATACAGAAAAACCCGTGTTAGAGCCATTACTGCTCCAAGGCTCTTGGTTGGGCACAGCAGCCAGCGGACGTGAGTCTCCTAGAAGTTCTCTACAATGTGTGCTATGTCCTGAAAAACTTGATATTTCTGAAACTCTTGATGCTTATCTAAAGCATTTATTAGAAACACATAAGTTTGTGATTGCCGACGTGAATTTGATAGCCAATTTTAAAAGGTATGGTACTGCTTGTAGAAAATAATCAAATTAATTGTTAAGTTGATTATCATTGATTTATTAATCCATTCCTCAGATTTGGGTTATGTTGAATATATTAAATGGTATATTGTTTATCTAACCAGTTTCTTACTTAATTTGTTAAATGGATTAGTCCGACTGTATATTTGGAACAGTCCATCCTATGTTAAAGGAATTTCAATATCAGAATTCACGCATAACATGCTGAATATTTTAAATGGACTTGTCCCGCTTTCATTTTTGGGACTGTCTATTATCAGTTTTAGGGATATCAATTTGAATATTTAAAGTTTGTCAGCCAACAGTATAGAGCCTGGTCAGACTGCACGGATCAGCCTGCACATCCGTGCAGTCTGACCAGGCTCTATACTGTTGGCTCAGATTGCACAGACAGTCACAATCAAATTTGGTTCCAGCTGTTTATTTATTTAAGGACTTAATTGTTATATACATAACTACAGCTTTAACTCATGATATAGGCTATGAAATTTGTTTTCAAAGATTACTTTAGATATTGCCATATTTGTATTATTTGATCATAATATTTGTTTTTCCATTATGAAACTTTCTGTCATTGTTGACTTGTTTCTTTGAAATAAAGAAAATCAGATTCTGATGTTTGATTCTTTCAGTTACTGTTTATATTGGAAAGAAAGATTCAAGCATGATCCACTGAAAGAGTTTTGCTCAGAAATACAAACTACAACAACAAAAGAAGGTAAAGTTATTTTATGATCACCAGTAGTCTTAAAAAATTTAAAAGCATAACAGGGGCCACCTGCTGAATTTGTGTATTATAGATTGTCCTGCTTTAAAATGGAACAGTCCATTCCAAGTTCAGTGGGTTTCAATTTTAAAATGCAGAAATAAAGCTACCAACAGTATAGAGCCTTGTAAGGCAGTACAGATTGATGCAAGATTTTGAGGTTGGCATTTTGGATTTAAGCTTTAGCTACATTAGTCATAGACATAGAAAACAGTTATCTACATCTCTGCTTTTGTTGAAATTCGCTTTTAGAAAATGTCTTTAAAGTTCTTTACTTCTTAGCCTAGTGTGACATCACACATAGTGTTATTTCAATCTATCATCCTGGAAATGAATATCACCCAGTCGATAATTTTTTGTAATATTACTTAGGGGCGAGATAACCTATATAGACTTAAGAAAACTTTATGGTCTAGTTCTCTCTCCTGGCTATGGCTCTTCGATTAATAATGCATAGCGGTGAAAAATTACATTAAAATGTTGTTTTGGTGTAATAGAAAAATAACACATGTCTCTCAGGGTAACAGTGCATGTTTGCAACCCTTGAACTGAAAGAACACCCATGGCGGGTGCATATTAGTAACCCTTTTAACTGAAATAACATCCTCAGCTCTGCCTTGGGTGTAATCAGGGTCTTTCAGATAGAATGGTCTAGAAACACACTATGTAAACCCTTTTCACTACAATTAAACATGTCTCAGTATAACTCTGTATAGTTTGCTATATACAAATTATGTAAGTTTTCAAGAAAAGGGCAAAAATTAAATACAAGAGCAAAAATGAAAATTCTAACAACATGATGGTCTTTAAAAATCTTTAAACTTCTGAAAAAATATAAATATTTCAGAAAGTAATGTTTTTAAAGCCATGATCTGCTGAAGAAAAAATATATTTGTAAATTGCTTGTTCAGAATATTTGCCGACATACGGCGCCATTTTGAAAATGCACCAAATTAAACATCAAATATTTGTAAATAACATTGTGAAAAATTATAATTTACATGATACAATTAAATAACATTTTCGCTCTCCAAAATTAATTTCTGTTTTGTCATTGAACAATGCATAAATTTAAAAATGCTTATGAACCTCAGATCTATTTTCAAATATGAGCAGAAGAGTTTTACCTTGACACTTTTGGTACAACCTCAAAGGATACATGTTTTAATCTCCAAACCTTATTAGATGTGGTGATTGTGGACATTCTATAAATAGGTTCACTCATTATAAATCTTTGTTACAGGAGAGGGATTTTACATGTTGAGTGATGTCTTACCAGAGGACAAACAGTTACGAGAACTCTTACAGAAAAGAAAACTGGTGATTTTTATTTTTTTTGATTTTTTTTGGCTTCTTTTTTTTTTGAGTAATTGTGACATGTTAATGCTTAAACTTTTCTCATAAATATAAAAAAAAATCATTTTAGTCCTGTAACCCATACTACACTTATCTTAAATGAACTTGTCCATCTTTCAGTTTTAGGGAAAATTTTAAATAAGGTTTGTCTGAATAGAGAACAATCATGAAAGGACAATGGTGCCTGATCTTGGTCTGCATTGGTAGAATCTGTTTTCAACACTTTAGGCTTAATGTTAAATTTCTAGTGGCACCGTGGCCAAGTGGTTAACTTGTCAGAGTAGTAATCAAAGGATTGTTGACCTCATGTGTTCAAACCCTGTCAGGGGCTAGCGGTTGTTTCTATGAGTAAGAAACTTTACATTCATTGCTTAGTACTGGTTGGTTCCAGGAACGGATTCAAGAGTGTTTTAATAAGCTTAAGCTTCCAACACAATGGAACTAAAATAAATTTATATAAACTTAAAGTTAAATTTAAAATCTCACAGTAAGGATTATTAAATTTGTGTTATTTTAGTACAAACTTTGTTGACTAATTTGATCCAAAGAATTTCTAAGAGTCAAGTTTAATTGGTTTTAATCACAGTTAATTGACCTTCATTTGGTGATTGATCAATTATAGGAGTATGTGCTAGAGACACAACAAACAGAGAGGGAAGATCAGTCGTTCAGTAGAGGATGTCTCTTCTGTAGGGAGCACTTTGTTGGTAACCGGTAAACAGTGATAGCCCTATATATATTTGGCAAATAATTAAATAAGTTAACTCATGGACTGTGTTTTTTTTTTTATTTATATGTGACTTTTTTCCGGCACTTGTTTTCATTTTTTGTGTATATATATATATATATATATATATATAAATATATATATATATATATATATATATATATATATATATATATATATATATATATATATATATATATATATATATATATATATATATATATAATGATATAATGATACTATATTGTATTATTGTATTGAGCACTATTTTACTATTGTATTGTTAGAATTTCTTAGTTAAGTTTTTACCCTTAATGCTGCCTTTACAATGGAATAAGTATGATTTATTTGATTAAACAATTTTTTTTAACTATTTTTATATCATAATTTGTATCAACTTTGTTAGTGTAGTACTTGATATAATTTTCATTAACATTTAAAGTTTTACTGTCAAGTTAAAGCCTCAAAATTGGGTGAATTTTGTTTGGGAGTGTGAGTGGGAGCATTTAGGAAAAAAAACTTTATCCCATTTTCAGGACTAAACTAGCCAGTAAAACTTGAAATGTTTTTTAAAATGTATCAAGTACTAAAGCCAATCTTTAGTGCGCTACATTATTTTTTGATATTCTAACGATTTCTTAGAATAAAACATATTTTACCTTCGAGTCGACAAAATAACAAAAAATAAAACCCAGTCCAATTGGGAGCATTTTGCAGGTGCACAATGACATAGTATCCTACCATTGAATTATAATTCTTGACAAGTTAGGGCTTAAATATGGAACTTTGTATCTCTGATAATATCAAAAAATATTAATGTTTTACAATGTTAAATTATGAAATTATTATTTACAGGTCATTGATGTTTGACCACATGGCTGTAGATCACAGTTTCAATGTTGGACAAGCAGATAATCTAGGTATGCTGTACTTTTCATTCTCATTAAACATAACAGAATAAATTACGTCTTTCCATTGATGTCCTTTATTTGTTTGTTTGTTTGGTTTTTTTTGTTTTTTTTTTAATAGGGTTTTATACTTTTCCCTGCTGGAACCAAATTGACTAATTAGCATTTACCACCAGTACAGAACTAGTCCAGTCTGCACATCTACTTGACTTGTGCTAGGATGCTTAAAGTTATGATTATACAATGAAACAAAATGTTTTTATCAATGTCAGAGTTAAAAAAGTTGGTTTTGAGTTTAAGTCATTGACTTATTCCACCTAGGTTTATAAAATTTTCTGTCTTTGTTTTCGTCCAGTAATTTGGTAGCATAAGCATGGCAAAAATCAAATATAATGTTTTTATTTGATTATGTAAATGTACTTTATACAAATATGTAATTTTGGTACTCTATATGCTTTGTTAATTTAAGTACTCTATATTTTAGTACTCTGTATACTTCTTTATTCAGCACTCCATATGATTTCTTAATATTGTACTTTTCATTTTAATTTCAGTGTTTACAAATGAATTTTTAGATTTACTGGAGGAAAAACTGAACAGGTAAAGATATTTTTATTATTATTTTCTCATTTGAAGCATTTTTTTAGCATCAGTGTCAGCATAACACTTTGTTTTAAAGGTTGGTGCTTCATTCATAATTAACTATCCAAGGTCCATAACTCTAACATATATTTTGACTAAATTTCTACTTAAACCCTTTGTAAACGTAGAAAATTTCTAGTTAGGATTTTGCATGCAGGATGAATATCCACAACAACAAACAAATGAAGATATTCCATTGGTACTGCAATTAAGTAATTGTGGTCATAATTGTGTTCACAGTCCAAGACCCATAACTCTATACATTTTAAATAAATTTTTCTGATCCTGATGTTTGCAAGGTTAAAGGAACTCCACTGAGGTACTAAAGCTTAAAAACATAAAATTTGAATTTCCTACATAGATCAGCTGAGGGCACTTAAAATAGAAAGGTATGCAAAATACATTAAAGAAATATATTCAGATTAGATTGGAAATCATATTATTGTGCTATTATTAACCTGATTTGAGTGAAAAATGTTAGAATACATTTTAATTTGAGCCATTTTGCACAACAAGACTAATATTCTGGAAAAAGAAGAGTGAATTAACGATCTGAAATTTTGCACACAAGTTACTGGTCTAGAAGGGCATCAAACGGAGCATTAATCTTGAAATAATACTTTCAGTGATGTAAAAATAAACGTGTTTTAGAAAAAAATAGTGTCCACATGTAGTGTCCGGTCTATAACTTTCTTATCTTTGAAGGGATTTTGTAAATTCTTGCCACAATTGTTCACAAAAATGAGACGATGTGTCATGCGCAACAATTAGTCACCTACCTCCAAGGTCAAGGTCACACTTGAGGTCAAAGATTAACATAGTCTGTTATAGGGTATATTTTGTGTACGGTCCAATGGTAAGTGAAAAACATTAGCGTTATATGTATCAGTGGTGTGTTGTGTGTGTGGGGGGGAGGTATTAAGGTTATTTCGCGACGATAAGGGATGATGACCAGTGTTATATTATTTTTCAGTTTACAATGTTTATACTGTGAGAAGACATTCAGGGATAAAACTGTACTTAAAGAACATATGAGGAAAAAACAGCATAGAAAGATCAACAGTAAAAACCATATCTATGATAAATATTACGTAATTAATTATCTGGTAAGTTTTGTTGAGAATTTATATTTATTAATTTTACAGTTATTTTCTATAGCTATTGATCCTGAAGTTTAAGACAAAATTCCAAGTATTTTCCAAATATATGTTTTGTTAAAGTATTGGCTATATATGACTTACAGGTATGTAATGCTTAATAAAATCTTCTTGTTGTTAATCAAGGACACAAGAAAAACTAATGGTTTAAATGACAGACTTTGAATTACTCACCCCTCAAAGCAGTGTGTTAAAATTTCATGCAGACTTTTTTTGTTTGAGGACTATAGCTTATGTAAGGTTGATTGTTCAACAGTGCACAGATGGGCTCCTTAAGGTCTGTTCTGATAGTAAAAAATGGAAATTCTATGTTTGCCTTACCAATTTTAGAATATGACTGACAAGCAAAACACAAAAGAAGAAAATCTTTATATGATTTTTAGCTCACCTGTCACAAAGTGACAGGGTGAGCTTTTGTGATCACTTTTCGTCCGGCGCCCGTCCGTCGTCCGTAAACTTTTACTTTAAATGACATCTCCTCATAAACCACTGAGCCAATTTCATCCAAACTTCACAGGAATGTTCCTTTGTTGGTCACCTTTGAAAATTGTTCAAAGAATTTAATTCCATGCAGAACTCTGGTTGCCATGGCAACCAAAAGAAAAAAATATTTTCTTCTAAAAAACCCTAAGAGCTAGAGCTAAGATATTTGGCATGAAACATCTTCTAGTGAGTGTCTACCAAGTGTGTTCAAATAAAAGCCCTGGGGTCAAAATTGGCCCCGCCCCAGGGGGTCATTGATTTTCCCTATATGCATATAGTAAAAACTTAAAAAAATCTTCTTTTAAAGAACCGAAAGACCTAGAGCTAAGATATTTAGCATGAAACATCCCCTAATGGGTGTCTACCAAGTTTGTTCAAATAAAAGCCCTGGGGTCAAAATTGGCCCCGCCCCAGGGGGTCATTGATTTTCCCTATATGCATATAGTAAAAACTTAAAAAATCTTCTTTTAAAGAACCCAAAGAGCTAGAGCTAAGATATTTAGCATGAAACATGTTCGAATGGATGTCTACCAAGTTTGTTCAAATAAGAGCCAAAATAAGGGTCAAAATTGGCCCCGTCCCAGGGGGTCATTGATTTTCCCTATATGCATAAAGTAAAAACTTAAAAAATCTTCTTTTAAAGAACCCAAAGAGCTAGAGCTAAGATATTTAGCATGAAACATGTTCTAATGGATGTCTACCAAGTTTGTTCAAATAAGAGCCCTGGGGTCAAAATTGGCCCCGCCCCGGGGATCATTGATTTTCCTTATATGTGTATAGCAAAAACTTAAAAAATCTTCTTTGAAAAAAACCAAATAGCTAGAGTTTAGATACTAAGCATGAAACATCTTCTAGTGAGTGTCTACCAAGTTTGTTGTAATAAAAGCCCTGGGGTTAAAATTGGCCCCGCCCCGGGGGGTCATTCATTTTCCTTTTATACATGTATGTATAACAAAAACTTAAAAAATCTTCATTGAAAAAACTCAAATAGCTAGAGTTTAGATATTAAGCACGAAACATCTTCTAGTGAGTGTCTACAAAGTTTGTTCAAATAAAAGCCCTGGGGTCAAAATTGGCCCCGCCCCGGGGATCATTGATTTTCCTTATATGTGTATAGCAAAAACTTAAAAAATCTTCTTTGAAAAAAACCAAATAGCTAGAGTTTAGATACTAAGCATGAAACATCTTCTAGTGAGTGTCTACCAAGTTTGTTGTAATAAAAGCCCTGGGGTCAAAATTGGCCCCGCCCCGGGGGTCATTCATTTTCCTTTTATGTGTATAACAAAAACTTAAAAAATCTTCTTTGAAAAAACCCGAATAGCTAGAGTTTAGATATTAAGCATGAAACATTTTCTAGTAAGTGTCTACAAAGATTGTTCAAATAAAAGCCCTTGGGTCAAAACTGGCCCTGCCCCAGGTGTGTCATTGTTTTTAACTATGTGTGTAAAGAAAAAACTTGACCAGCTAGACCTTAGATGTTTAGCATGAAACATCTTCTTATGGGTGTCTACCAAGTTTGTTCAAATAAAAGTCCTGGGGTTTAAACTGGCCCCGCTCCGGGGGCCTATATACAGGTGAGCGACTTCAGGGCCATCATGGCCCTCTTGTTTTACCATTATAGCTCGAAGAAATGTCAAGTACATCACTATGAAAACATAACATAATGAGAATTTGAGAAAGTTTGGTATAAATTATGAATGTATAACATAAATAAGATTTCAAAATAAGTAATTAGTAACTATTATATTTAAGGAACTTGGTAAAAATTGGGAGAAGATTCAGAGAGAAAGGGACATAACTGCAGCTGATACTGATGAAACAGAATCTGAAGAGTAAGTTACCTCCCTGTACATAGATTTACAATTCACTATTGCTTAAAAGCTGTGTATGTTCATCAATGAATGAAAGCTATTAGAAAAAGTGAATTTACATTTTTCTCCATTTTCTTCCATTTTTTAAAAAAATGTAATCATTAAGATTTTGAAAATTCCTATAAATTATGATTTTAATCTTTCGTGACAATGGGCACCTGTTTAGAAGAACATGAAGTAAAATCTTTATGACTATGTAACAGCCAGATATTATCTAGATGTATATTCAGCATGCTTGAACAATAAGATATAGAAAACAGGATCTGTTTGATCTCATTTAATATGGTTTATATCTACTGCATTTAATATGATTTATATATCACTTCAATTATTGAATTATTACCACAAGTATACAAAATGTTACATTTTTTTGCTTTTCCACGAAACATGTATTTTTCTATGTTCACACTATTAAACAAGAAAACAAAATCATTTTATTTTATGATATTTGGTGAAAAATTTAAGTTTTCAAAAGTTTTGATTATATAGTGAGTGATAAATAGAACATATTAAATGAGGTTGGCTTTGATGCTGAATTTACTGAACGAGTTGTGAATAAAATTATATTATGTGCACCTCTGGCATGTATAATATTAATTTATTCAACAAGTTCAATAAATTAAATAATGAATCTAGACGAATTTAATATTCTATTTATCATAAACCAAGAAAAAAAACTGATCCATTTTTCAATGTAAATCATTTGAGCCGCATCATGACAAAACCAACATAATGGGTTTGCAACCAGCATGGATCCAGACCAGCCTGCGCATCCGCGCAGTCTGATCAGGATCCATGCTGTTCGCTTACAAACTCTATAACAAGTAGAGAAACCGATAGCGAACAGCATGGATCCTGATCAGACTCATTATGTTGGTTTTGTCATGACGTGGCTCATTTATTCACTAACCCATTAATATTGTTACGCTTTAGCGGGCATTAGGCTATGTTTGTATAATGCAAGTGACATCACATCAAAATAAATGCACGGCCGTGCTATACTATTTTTATGGTTATATTTCAGATTTTGCTTTTAAGTATTTAGTTCATGTGTAACATCCCAAATCTTATAAGAGCCAATAGGTCCTAGATCCACAGATTCAGTTAAGGGTCAAGGGTGGAGGAGCAATTACTTTGAATCTATTGGCCCTAATACTGCAGTAGGTTTGAAACCAGCCATTTGTGGGGTCTTGGGTCTAGTTTACAGAAGGGTGTACGCTTGTACCTAAAATAATGCACTAGAGGGTATTTGTTCAAATTCAGTTCAACTTAAAGTTTCATACAAATGTTTTGTATTGATATAAAATTCAGGAGATTCTATTAAATTACATTGCAGTATTAAACCATTCCCTTGAGAAAAAAAACACACAAAAAACCAGATGCTAGATGAAAGTAAAACTGTTGTGTCATTTTGCTATTCTGGTTCTTGTGAATTTTTTTAGACAATTTTCCAGGGTCGTTTTCATGCTTATCTCGAAATGCTTAACGATACATCTTTATAAATTAGCATAGATAAGAATACAGCGGCTATAAACTAGAAATTATCAAATTGACCTTCACCTTTTACATCCTGTATTCCAAGTTTTGATTGGTATTAACTGAATACCAAGCTTGTTTCACTGAATATTAATAAGGTAATAATTGGCTTAAAATAGGTTATGCCATACACACAGAGGCATGTAAAATGTAAAAAAGTGAAATTTTTTATCAATGAAATTTGTTTATGTGGGCCTTACACGAAAAGAATAATCTTTTTGAATCACACGTTAAATTGTCTTTTATTATCATGGTTCATTCATAAATATTATTTATCGTCCCATCTGTAAGAGATTATCAAATGATTTTGTAATCGTGGCATGATTTTTAGATGGTGCTATATAAAAAGATTTATTGCTAGATAATATTGTCCTCCCTGAAACCTAAGTGAGTAAAATGTTTTGAAACAGCTAAAATTTCATGTTCATTTCCATGTTAACAGTTTTCTTATCTCAAATTTATTCGATAATTTTTTTTAAAACTTATAATGGGGTAGTTGTCACTTTCATTCATATATTGTTAAAATCGCTTGTTGCAATTTTTTTTTTTTTGCTAACATTGCTCAATTTTATGTTAAAGAGACATTTGTCAGGTTATTTTTATTTATTTTTTTTTTCCAGCACCTATTTGGCATTTTTATATTCAAATTAAAATAGTGTGATTGTTGATATCACTATCTGTCTTATCAAGTTTATATTTGTACATCAAGCATGTTTAATAGCACTTTAGTTCATGTGAAAGATAAAGTTGAAACAGTTGAGTCATGTCTGGTGAAGGAAATCAAGGAGTGGTAGCAAAAACTTTCAAAATTCTAAATCATGAATGAAAAATATCCTCTTTTTTTCACATGCTTGTCAACATGGTTTTTTTTTTTTTTGCATTGTAAAAGAAGCATTGCTGCATTTTAAATTCATTGAGTAAATACTGCCACTGAATCTTTTATATAATATATTTCAGTAATTTTTTATCAAAAATATTAAGAAAAATTTTAATTGATATATTGTTGAAGTGATTTCATCTAGTGTTTGTCCTTAGATATCTTATTTCAATTTAAAAGGGTTCAAGTTTTATATACTATGATGGAGAAAAATTGGTTATTTTATAAAATGAATTATTACATACCCATGCTGCTTTTTTGACTCTGTAAGAACAGTATTGCATGGCCATGAATATATTTTAACGCAGCATCATATGCATTTTACAAACTTAGCATTAGGATGCTTTAAATTAAGCGTAAAACTACTGGTATATGTTCTCCCATTAAAAAGTGATTCTTTTTCACTATCAATAGTTCTTATTTTAGGTATGTGATAAATATAAAACTATATTTGTGTAGATTGAATACTATTTTTTTTTAACTTGTTAAATAAAATTATATTATGCTCACCAGAGGCTCACTTAGTATGATTTTACTCAACTCATTCAATAACTTGAGCATTGCACACTCATTCAGTATCCTCTATATATGTCCTGGGGTTGCAAACTCTCAAAATGCATGTCAGGAAAGGAAAAAAAAATGTTTCCTTGAAATAAAAAACTGTTGCAAGTGAAAAGTTAATTTTTACAAACATTATAAGTTAATACATAAATAAACTGGTAAACTGGTATACTTCATTGAATTCATAAATGAACCATTATATATAACCATTTATTCATATATTTCCTAGAATTTTTAATGTATATATGAATTAACTTGTTCATTCCATAAACTTAACATATAATTAATTTGGTATATTACAGTGAATGGTCGGGATGGGAGGAAGAGTCAAGTGGACAGGCTATTTGTCTATATTGTGAATTCTCATCCAGTAATGCTGATAAGCTCAGCCTACATATGCAAGAGCTACATGACTTTGATCTGCAGGAACTGAAACTTCGATTAAACCTGAACTACTACCAGCAAGTTAAGCTAATTAATTACATTCGAAGACAGGTAATTATAAAACATTGACTTTGTAAATTATTTTTCATTTTAATCAATGCAAGCAGTTTGATGGCAATATGTGTTTGTTAAAATAATTTTACTGACAGGTTATATGGCTTTATAATAATAGCTGTTTGCCATATAATCTTTGAATAATGGTTTAGGTGATATAAACTTACAACCATCGTGACTTGACTATATAACCAGTAGAACTTTTTTTGTATCCTTTATTATTTATTGCTGAAGTATGCTTATTTTGATTTTCACCTCCAAATTTCATAAAAAACACATTATTTAAGTTGATGGATTGTGTAACTTGTTAATTGACTTTAATTTTCATAAGATCTTACACCTATATAACAAATTATGAACAATGGTGGCATGGATATAGATGTTTCACTTAACTTTAATTTCATATATTTGATTTATATTTCACACCAAATTACATGTATACTAATTGGATTATTCTATCTCTAAACCCCTTTACCCGATATACACACCTTTTTCACCCCCCCCCCCCCCCTTTATTGTTGTCTTAAATGTTGAAAAAAATGCCTTATTTAGGCCCCAACACTTGTTTTTGTCGGAGAAATGTTGTTTAAAAAAGTGACACTTTTTCGGCACGGCCCCTATCCAAAAGATACATCATGGGGTTGCCAGAAGGGGCATGTGCCCCCTCTGGGGGGTTTGAAGGGGGGCGGCAGTCCCCCTCATTGGCAAGAAAACTTTGGACTTGTGAGAGGCTAAAAATGACCCCAGATCTATCATAAGGTAAAGTGTAACCAACGCTGAAAAGCATTTGACTCTATCTCAATACATTGAGAAGTTGCAGCACTTTGAAATCAATTTTGATGGAAAAAATTAACACAAAATAGTGATTTTTGGCAATTTTAGATGTTCCCTCGTTGCCATGGTAACAGGAAATTTAAGCCTGGGCATGTTGTTACAAAGGCAATGGTACAGTCAACATTTGTGCAAAGTTTGATTAGTATTGAAGCAGTTTTTATAGTTTTATAGCAATTTGAACTTGTAACAGGGGGACTTTTCAATGAAAACAGCCATTTTTCACAAAATGCTCATGGGGTAATGGGTTAATCATTTGTTATATATATAAAATATACCAAAATTAATGCAAGAAATATGCAAACCATAGTTATTTTTCAATCCAAATAAATTGAAAATGTTAAGTATAAGGTGGGATGAAGCGTCACTAAACTTAAGTGGGTGAGTTGTTATGGGGCAAATGGTCAGTGGGGTGAGTTGTTATATATCCTGACTTAAAAAATGTTGTTTCTTTACTTCAGGTACATATGTGTGTATGTATTGGATGCAGTGAAAAGTTTGAGACCAAATCTAGTCTGTTTGACCACATGCATGAGGCCAGTCATACCACCGTACTGCCAGATATATCAGTATGGGACCAACCACAGTAAGTTTGATATATACTGATTACACACTTTCCAGTAGATAACTTAAATATAGCAGTGAAATATATTCTGATAATTTGGTAATTTATTGGAATATTTCCAATAAATCACGAAATTATCAGAATATTACCAGCATATATTTCACTGTGAAAGCATCCAAATATGTTTTTACTGAGGTCAAACTGTATTTTGTTTATACAAATATTATTTTAGTTTGATTGTGTTGAAAAGCTATAAGCTTATTGAAACACTCACGAATCTGTTCCTGGAACCAACCAGTACTAAGCAATGAATGTAAAGTTTCTAGCTCGAGGAAACATCGGCTTGCCCCCGACAGGGTTTGAACCCACACGGTCAGCAATCTTTAGATTACTAGTCTGACACATTAACCACTCAGCCACACCGCCATTCAACTGTATTTGATAGTGGATAGCTTACAGATCATAAGTGAATGGAAATTTCAGCAGAAATACACTTGATTCTAAGTGATATGTACTTGATTGCTGTAAGCATTAGATTATTTGCACACTTTATATTGAAAAGGACTGACATATACTTAAAAAAATGTAAATATGTAAGGGACAAATGATCCTATAGATTATGAAATTTTTTATTTTCGTAAGAAAAGTGTAATTTTCATACATTTTTATCCTATTACCAAATGTGGGATTAAATCATACTTTATTCAGCCAATCGCTGACCATGTTACAATACAATAATTCGAAGTCTGCAAACAATAATTTATTTAATGCTATTTAATCAAGGAAAATAATTATGCTAATTATAGCTCTTAACATTTGAATACTTGAATAAGGTTGGTTTTTTTTCTATCTGAAATTTGAGGCCAAAAATGTTGTACACTGATTATTATCTGCAGCAGTACGCTAAACATTATTTACAGTCGTAGGCTAAACAATATCTACAGACGTAGGCTAACTGACACATTGTGTTTGATGTATAGATGCTCTCCATTGTTATATGGAGCATATGGCACGCTTCATTCATTCTTGATGCCTGTTTTTTAGTAATTATTCCTAAATTAACACATGTAACCTTTTGTGAATTCAACTATTAAATATTGGCATATTATTGCCAGGAACTAATTTTTACTATGTTATAGTAATTAAGCTCCAATTAACATATGTTGTCTTTTGTGTGAACAATTCTAGAATATTGGCATTTTGATGTGACATCTGTGATTTACTGAGTACAACTTTTGTGCTTTTCAAATGAGTTGAAAGAAGAGTACTTTTGTCAACATGTATTAATAGTTTCTATAAATCACCGGTAGTTGTTATTATAACCCTACTTGTAGAAAATTGATATACATGTGTACAGGAAAATAAAGAGTGGAAGAGACAAGTTACAAAATACAGTACAACCTCTATACAGTTACACTCTTTCTCAGAGAAAGATTTTGGTTGCTGTCGAGGGGTGTTTGCTCCTTTGGGAAAAAAGGATACTGTTGCTGTAAAGAGGTGATTGCAGTACAGAGGGACATTCTGCAATAGTTGCATTATCATATACTAATAACACTGTTACACAGGGTGGTAGAAATTAAGAAATTCATTTTGGCACAATTATGACCCTTTTTGACAAAATTTTTTTTAGTAACAGTAATTTAGTTAAAAACCTTCAACATTTTTTAAAACTTCAAACACAAACAAAAACTTATTTCAAAGGGGTCTAACCACAAAAATAAATCATTTTGACATAGTTCAAGCTTCTCTTAAGGACTGATAACTGTTAGATATTATTTCTGAATTTATCCCTTTCTCATCTCTTCCAAATATATTATATAAGATTTATCTCCCTTTTCATATTTAGGATAAAGTGGAGTGTGCTCTTCCATAGCAGTTCTTATAAATGGTTTATATTGTAAAAGTACAAAGTTTTTATTAATAAGTGCAAAATAATGCTTCTTGCACCAGGAGTCTCTCTAATTTTACATTCAGGTATTTAGCTGGTAAAACATTTTATCAAAGCAAACTGTTTTACGTAATATTTTTCAATCAAGCAAAGGTGATAAGTTATTTTACTGCAAAGTCATGGTAAAATTACTACGCCTTGTACCTTATAAAGAGAGATTCAATTAAAGTTATATTTGGGTAACCTAATGAGTTTTTTTTTTTCTCTTTCATCAAAATTTGATTTTGTTAAGATTTTTATATAAAAGCAAAGGCTATCAGTAGTGAATGATTTAAGAAAAGGAAATCTATACGCCAATGTTAGGAATGTCTGTCAAACTTTGTGAAAAATCTTCTTTGTTGTAAGCGCGATCTTATTTATCAGCTCTCGCATCAGTAATTGCATTTTGTCATGCATTCGAAAGATTTATATTGATATGCTGTCTAAAAGCTCAAACCAAGTTTTTTTACGTATGAATAAAATAAACAGAGAAACGTTTGAAAAGTTATCGCGACACACTTAAGATACATTATAGTCTCGCCAATTATGATATTAATTTTCACGTTTTCTCTTTTCAAAACATTGAAATTTTAATGCCGAGTCAAGACGTTCACCAAGTGTACATTGTAAAGAATTGGGTTGCGATATTGCCTTTTGTAAAACTTGACTTACGTTTTTTCTTTTTAAGGGTTTGGATTTTGATTAACAGTTGTCATACAGCGCAATCTTGTTTGACAAGTGAATGGCTGGTGTGTTATAGCAGTGAAATGCTATATTATAACGTTACAGGCACGGCACGCCAACAGAAAAATAAACGGCAGCCTTTGATGTTGATAATAGCATTGTTGAAGCTTATAATATTTACATATTGCTTATGGGTGGCATTGGAGTATGAATGTATAAAATTTGCATAAAAAACTATTTTAATTTTACAATGTAAGAGAATCAATGCTACAGGTATTTTACTTTAACATTTCTGTACAACTATGTTTAAACCTTAATATAAAGACCAACTTTAAAAAAGGCAGAAAAGATAATGATTAAAAGTGGATCTAAATACAAGTACTTCAATCCTAATAAGTAGGATAAGAAAATGAAATTATTTCTTATATAGATGTATTTTTCATAAGCAATACTCATTCATAGGCTGTTTGATTTAGAAGATTTGAGCAAAAAATGCAAAACTTTAGTTTAATGTCTTCAACATGATTTTTTGTGTGCTTTTCATACATTGATACCCAGACAAGTATATTTATGTAACCATTGGGGAAACAATTTCATCATTGATTTTGTTGACAGGAAAATGTATTATACATTTTGAACAATATGTACAATTAAGAAGGTGGGGTTCTTGTGTGTGGTCTTAATGCACAGGTGGGTTTAAATGCAGGATTTTTTTACTATAAATATCAATATAACATAAGCATGCTATATTATAGCATTTGCATATGATGTTAATTGCGTTGTTATTTTTCTGCCTAAAATGTTTCCATTTACTGATCTGTAAATAAATGGATTTTGATTTATTTTCAAACTTAAAATTGAATTACAGGCTTCAGGCTATGCCCTCTTATCACAGTGTTCGCGATTGTTGAATTTTCACTATTTGCTAATATTTCATCTCCTAATTCTAAATTATCGGTTATGCAAAACCTTTAACGGTTAAATTGAATGTCTTTCTCATTAGATCGTTCCTATAACCCCATGACACGAAGTAAATTAGTCTATTTATAAAACCTCCGTTCTTTGTCGTACAAACACAACAGGTGAATTTTTCATCACGTTCATTTTGATTTATTTTTTTTTCACTATAATGATGGGGAGATAAATGCGACGTAAAATTCAATGTTCAGTCGTTGGACTGTAATTTGTTCATGATAGCATGAAATAATTTCGGTTATGCAATGGAAAAAAATTGCTTTCAAACAGTTTTCATTAACACTCGATAGTTAAAGATAAAAGATGCCGATAAAATGTGTACCAGTTTGTTTAAAAGAAAAAGTTAATTGAAGAAAAGTGAATGGTTTTCATCGCAAATTGATTGTTATTATATTTAAAAATAAGCATGTTAACATACCATTAGTTATATAACTTGAGACAGACAGAATGTGACATTTTGTCAGCAAGGCTAGCAAATAATGTCTCGTGTTACAAAGACATGCCTGAAATTTACAAATGATAAAATAAAAAGTAATTGATATACCAGCAACTGGTTTTATGTACATGTACTAGATGTCAGGACATCTGAGAAAAAATGTAACACATAAAATTATGATATTTTCAATGTAAAAGTGTTTTCCATGTATTAAAAATATTTGGGGATGCTTTGCCACAGTTGTCCATATGTTTCATTAAAAACTTATGTGCATATAGAAATGTCAGTGGTCTGGCCTAATAGAAATGTCAGTGGTCTGGCCTTATAGAAATGTCAGTGGTCTGGCCTAATAGAAATGTCAGTGGTCTGGCCTAATAGAAATGTCAGTGGTCTGGCCTAATAGAAATGTCAGTGGTCTGGCCTAATAGAAATGTCAGTGGTCTGGCCTAATAGAAATGTCAGTGTCTGGCCTATAGAAATGTCAGTGGTCTGGCCTAATAGAAATGTCAGTGGTCTGGCCTAATAGAAATGTCAGTGGTCTGGCTAATAGAAATGTCAGTGGTCTGGCCTATAGAAATGTCAGTGGTCTGGCCTAATAGAAATGTCAGTGGTCTGGCCTATAGAAATGTCAGTGGTCTGGCCTAATAGAAATGTCAGTGGTCTGGCCTAATAGAAATGTCAGTGGTCTGGCCTATAGAAATGTCAGTGTCTGGCCTAGCCTAATAGAAATGTCAGTGGTCTGGCCTAATAGAAATGTCAGTGGTCTGGCCTAATAGAAATTCAGTGTCTGGCTTAATAGAAATGTCAGTGTCTGGCCTAATAGAAATGTCAGTGGTCTGGCCTTATAGAAATGTCAGTGGTCTGGCCTAATAGAATTGTCAGTGTCTGTCTGGCCTAATAGAATGTCAGTGGTCTGGCCTTATAGAAATGTCATGGTCTGGCCTAATAGAAATGTCAGTGGTCTGGCCTAATAGAAATGTCAGTGGTCTGGCCTAATAGAAATGTCAGTGGTCTGGCCTTATAGAAATGTCAGTGGTCTGGCCTAATAGAAATGTCAGTGGTCTGGCCTAATAGAAATGTCAGTGGTCTGGCCTTATAGAAATGTCAGTGGTCTGGCCTAATAGAATTGTCAGTGGTCTGGCCTAATAGAAATTTCAATGGTCTGGCTTAATAGAAATGTCAGTGGTCTGGCCTAATAGAAATGTCAGTGGTCTGACCTTATAGAAATGTCAGTGGTCTGGCCTAATAGACTTGTCAGTGTTCTGGCCTAATAGAAATGTCAGTGGTCTGGCTTAATAGAAATTTCAATGGTCTGGCTTAATAGAAATGTCAGTGGTCTGGCCTAATAGAATTGTCAGTGGTCTGACCTTATAGAAATGTCAGTGGTCTGGCTTAATAGAAATTTCAATGGTCTGGCTTAATAGAAATGTCAGTGGTCTAGCCTACCGAAATTCTAGACCTTGCACAAGTTTAGTAGGAAGAGCATCAGGTCATCACAAGTTTTGAATCTTATTGGGGTTTATGTGGGGGAAGGGGAGACACATGCTTTTCAAGCAGCATGACTCAAGATTCATACTATTAATTAAGATGTATTCAAAAGTAAAATATTGTCAAGTGAACAAAGGAAGTAATTTACACATTACAAATGGCAGCTGCACTTAAAATGTATGAAAATTACCAAAAATAGGCCAAAAAATGCTAAAAAGCTTATGTAAGTATCTTTATGGTGATAAATACTGCAAAATCAGTCAATAATTGCATATAACATGTAAATTATTTCTTGAATAGTGTATATTTTCACTTTTTTTATATTTAAGTCCTAGTACATTTTTCTCAAGGTTGATTTTTTTAAATGTTTTGGCTCATCTGCAGGTGTGCAACTTCAAGTCACAGTAAGGATAATAAAAATGATATCTTATAATTTTGTCCTTTTGAAGATACTTAAAATATCAGAACAGAACTTTAAAATATTTGTTTGCAAATTTGGTATTTGTTTGAAAAGCTAAAAGCTTTTTTTCCCCACAATTCTGACTAGTTTTTGCAGCAGAAAGAGTATATAATTATAAACAATAAAGGTTTTAAGCTTTTCATATATAATTATAAACAATAAAGGTTTTAAGCTTTTCATGATTAATAAGATAGATTTAAAGTGTCTGAATAGTAATCTAAGGATTGCTGACTGTGTGGGTTCAAACCCCATCAGGGGCAAGCTATTGTTTCCATTATCAAGAAACTTTATACTCATTGCTTAGTAATGGTTGGTTCCAGGAACGGATTTGAGAGTGTTTTAATATAGCTTCAAACTAAAATGAATTAGTATAAACTATAAACAAAACTATTTTATTTTTCTCTTTTCATTCAGGAATGTTTTTTAAAGCCAGAAAATAATTACAAGGAACTACTTTCTTCTCGTTTCAGGTACTACTTTCCTACATATGAAAATGACAATCTCCTATGTCAACTAGAGGATGATAATGATAATTGCCATGGCAACGAAAATGTTATAGCAGAGGACACACCTGTTATAGATACAATATTGTCTGAAGAAAATCTTAGAAAAGAGATATTGACAACTTGATGTGTATTTATGAAAATAGTGTGATTTTTCTTTGAACACAGAACACAGATATTGTTTGTGTCACCCACTGTTTAGTTGGGGTGGGGGATATAGATTTACACTTGTTTGTCTTGCTGTCCCCCTGATCAGACTAATAAACTGGCAAAACAGTAGAATGTAGGGGCATCTATGTCCTATAGACACATTTCTAGTTCTGCAGTGTGATCTGATTGTATACTTATTAAAATTGTTTGCCAGGGACATTGAATTGTTTCATGTCAGGAAACTACATAATTATTCTGCTAGCTTACTGAAGGTTGATGGTTCTACTTTGTTACCCACTTAAGGCTGAAATAATTCACCTGAGGGGCACCTGAGGTCTTTGTCCGCCATGAATGCCAGACAGTAGCAATATGACCTTTCCAATGTCACTATGACTAAAATTACCAACCCCAAAAAATGTATATTGAAGTGGTTATAAAGACAGTTTTGACTGTGACAAGTAGGACAAAAATACTGTGATATTTAAGTTGAGATTTTGTAATTTTATATTTTTGGTGGGTGTTTAAATTAAGCGTATGTTTGCTGTAAGAACTAGATTATTTGCCTCATTTTACAGACAAAGTGTTTGATGTTGCAAAGTTGTTAAATTGACTGAAATGAAGTATTAGATAAAGTAGATTATAATTGAGTTCAGCCAAACATAGCTGATTTTCCTAAATATCTTGGTAAACATTTAGGATTATGTATAATTTATTGCTGGGATGAAAATTGTTGATAATTGTAGTAGTCCAGGTGAGGAAAAATACCCACATGTAATTGTATATTAAAAAGGTTAGATCAAAGATGGTGACCTTCTCATGTATTTAAATTACCTGTATTTATAATCCCCAGCTCTTCTAGCCTTTACCTTGCTAAAATTTTATAATAGGCTTGCCATGACTTGTTTTTAGAAGGGTCCATTTAATATTCAGGGGTTTTCAGTCTGAAAATACAAAAAGCGAGTAGCAACTCAGATTACACTGATGTGCTGACTAGCCTTACTTTATACTAAGGGCATAGGTATGTCACCGTGTATAGATTCTGTAAGGCAGGAACGTGTACATAATGCAGGAATTATGCAAAAGTTACACCATATCTGTGCAACATAATTATGCATCCATAGGAGCTCATTCATTTCTTACAAGTAACATACTTGTTTCTGCCATATATTGCAAAGATTTTATGTTACATTTTCACGATTCCGGTGTTATTTTCACATTACTGTGTTAGGGATATGTGTGGGGTATATTATAAATGCTTTACATTTTGAGTGTTTGTCAAAGAATTCTTTCTGAGAAGGAAAACACAATTATATGGAAGTATTATCGGAAGTTGATAAATTTTCTCAATGTTTTGTTGAATTTATTTGTATGATAAATGATAATGATCATGATGAATTGATGCCTGTGATAAATAATGATAAATTAGCGAATAAAATTTTATCAGTCTAAACTGTGTTGGGTTAAATAATTCTTGTATCATAGCAACGGAACAAACTGAAAACAATTATTATATGAGCTACTATAGTAATAGCGTAGAATGATTATATAAATTATGATGAGAGATTTTCATGTGCTTTATTTGTCTGTAGCTGGAATTTTATGCAAATTTTATAAAATATTAACTTTGAATTGTGTGTTTGTCAGTAAAATGATTAGTAAATTTTCTCAGATAACTAGTATTATTTGCAAGGTCAGTTCACTAGAGAACTTATCATTTTTACTACCAAGTTTGTCCATCTGTCAGTCTGTTGACATCTCTTATCCTTGCCATAATATGTTTATACTATAAACTTTGACAAAATGTTCCTTAACTAAGGTATAACCTTGATGGCCATGATCTTTAAGGTCAAATTTTCAAATTTAAGGAAACTTCATCGTGACTTTCTTATTTACATTTATATAAAAATTGAGATAGTGTTTCTTTTATGCCCCCTCAAAATGGGGAGACATATAGTTTTTGTAGTGTCCGTTCTTCCTTCCTTCCATCCTTCCGAGCTTACATTTGGATACATATACTTATGTGGCTATAGGAACAATTATAGATATCTGTACTTTGTCTTGGATGTAATTAATTCCATAAGGCTTTTATGTGGCTTTTTAGCTCGACTATTTGAAGAATATGAGAGCTATTGTAGTCGCCCTGGCGTCGGCGTCAGCGTCCGCGTCGGCGTCTGCGTTGGTTAAAGTTTTTTGTAAATTCAAATATCTCAATTATTGCTTGAGATATTCAATTGAAACTTACAATACTTATTTATAGTAACAATATACATCAGATTGACAAGTTGGATAACTCTGCCTACAATATTGACAGAATTATGCCCCTTTTTAACTTATAAATTTTGGTTAAAGTTTTTTGTAAATTCAAATATCTCAATTATTGCTTGAGATATTCAATTGAAACTTACAATACTTATTTATAGTAACAATATACATCAGATTGACAAGTTGGATAACTCTGCCTACAATATTGACAGAATTATGCCCCTTTTTAACTTAGAAATTTTGGTTAAAGTTTTTGTAGATTCAAATATCTCAATTATTGCTTGAGATATTCAATTGAAACTTACAATACTTATTTATAGTAACAATGCTCATCATATTGACAAGTTGAATAACTCTGCCTATAATATTTACAGAATTATGCCCCTTTATAACTTAGAAATTTGGTTAATGTTTTTTTTTGTAAAGTCAAATATCTCAATTATTGCTTGAGATATTCAATTGAAATTTACAATACTTTTTTATAGTAACAATGTACATCAGTTTGCAAAATTGCATAACTCTGACTGCAATATTTGCAGAATTATTTGCCCCTTTGAAACTCTAAGAAATTTTGGTTAAAGGTTAAAGTTCTTCAAAGATATTTACTTGAAACTTTACACATGTGCTTAGGGTCATAATTGGAGAGTCATAATTGTATGTCACTGACCAAGTTCCATAACTCTACTCGCATTTAGGCTGATTCATCTCCTCTTTTCTACTTAGTCTATTGGTTAATGTTTACATGCAAGTATTACATATCTCAATAACTATTCAAGATATTTATTTAAAACTTCACATATGCATTTAGAATCATAATTGTAGGTCACTGACCAAGATCCATAATTCTATCTTGCATTTAGGCTGATTTTTCTCCCCTTTTTCAACTTAAAAATTCATAGTAAAATTTTGCTTGTAAGCTGTTATCTCCATAACTACTGAAGAGTTTGTGCCTTTTTGGGGACATTTTTATGCATTCATAATAATAAAGCAGTGATTTACTTGATAAAACATCTTTATAACAAGCCTGTGTACCTTTTCAGTCAATTTTATGTATTCATAGGTAACTAGCATTATTATACTCAATAAATCACCCTTGTGACAACATTTTGAATAGTCGAGCCAATACTGTCCTCCGACAGTTCTTGTTTCTTTTATGTGGGTTAAAAAGAACAATTGAGAGAACAATAGAGTAGCCACATAAGTTTTATCTTGTTGCAGTCGTCCTTCCTTCAGTTTGAACTTTGTCTGATCCATAACTTTGACATTTATGGATGGATTTGAAAATTATTTAGTATAAATGTGTATCACATAGAGTTAATGTATCATTGTGCAACATCTAGGTCTAAACCTAAAAGGTTAAGGTCACACTTTGACTTCAGTGGAAATTCTGTTTGTGTCCAATTAACAATTCTGTCATTGATGGATGGGATTAAGAAATTATTATGCATTTAAATGTTTAAGACATAATGTTGCATATCACATGCAAGAAACAGCTTGTTTATTGTACAGTGCGAAATATGCTCAAATGACAATATCTGACAATAGGGTTGATGTAACATGGATGATGTAACATGTTTTAACAAAACCATAAAAAATTTTGTTAATAAATAGTATCATCTATAACATTGCGGGATTTCATTGCACATAAAATCATTCTAATTATTCTATTGATGGTCTTGTAAGATGATAATCTGCCAATTCAAAAAAGGTATACAACAACAACAACAACAACAAAAAGACCAACCCCAAAAAGCAGTAACAACATACATGTTGTTATAGGATGTCCTTTGTCCTAAATAACCTCACTATTATAATTATTGAATTATGAAATTAGTTATATTTGCTAAAACAATCCAATAGGATTTAGACATAAAATTGTAAAATGAAATTATATTATTTCTATAATCTTATGTTCAATTCTTGAAATAGATGGAACATAGAATGTCACTGTTATTTAATACACATGAATAGTGGACATAAACAGAATAAAATGTTCTGTAACAATACATTATACTGCTTTATCCGTTCAATTATTTCATGTATGTGCCAAAGTGCTTTAAAGGCAATTTATTATCATATTTCTTTCATACAAGCATTTTGGAAGTATTCTTTTTTTTTTTTAAATTCAAAACATAATTTTTGCAGTAGATATTCATGTATAGCCTTATACACTTTAAATTCTCTTTTAATACTTTTTGTCAAGGAAATATTCTGTGGTCTTTTTTCGTTGTATAAGTTCATATGACAAAATCTTTTATTTCAAGCTAAACACTTTCCACATATTTGTTGAAAACAAGTCGTCATTTATTTAATGCATTTACGCTTCAAATAGCAATATGTTATTTGAATGAAAAAAGCAATTGTTTGTGTCAATTAAAACAATTGGGTTGGTTTATCTTAGTTGTGAACATATTCTGTCAACGAGTTTTAACTGCTATCTATTTTTAACATCTTTAGTAACTTCATTTAGAACAAAGTGTTGCTTTGTTTTGTGTGAAATAGTTTCCTAGCGATAATAACATTGTTGAAACCATCGCGAAATTTGCTACGATCATTTACAATGAATGCAATTTTTCGGTAAAGACACATCAACAAAGTGCGTTTAACCCTCTTTTTCTGCTTCAACAATACGTCTATTGCGATATAGAATTACACAGCTTTTTGTTGTCGCTAATGTAGATGGGTATTCGTTACTTTAATGTCAGTCGGCTAGTGTAAAGTTGAGTTGTTACTATTGAAAGTAATTGCATACCAAACTTTGTTAGGACAGACCCACTAATATGTTTGTTCACCAAATGTTTTTCAATATGTAAAATTTGATAACTGTCTTCCAATTTCAAAGGACACCAACTATGTAATTACATTATAAAATACTTTGATTTAAACTTAATAGATACGTTTTAGCTGATAGGACAATTGCAATGTGTTGTTGACAGTCAGGATTAAGTAAAATTACTACAGACAATTAGAATATATGTCCCAATTTAAATGGACAATTTGTACAAATATTATTAAAATATGTACTGTATATGTTTAAGGAATAATGTTTTACCTGTTCTGAGACAAAAATTGTTGTCTATTTAAAGTTAAAGAAACTTCAAATATCTGGTTTCTACCTATTCTGCTTCAAGGTTGAGACATTGGTAGAAACATTAAATATCTGATGTTTACCTGTACTGCTTTGAGGCTGAGATGTTGGTAGAAACGTCAAATATCTAATGTCTACCTATTCTGCTTTGAGGCTGAGAGATTGGTAGAAACGTCAAATATCTAATGTCTATCTATTCTGCTTTGAGGCTGAGAGATTGGTAGAAACGTCAAATATCTGATGTCTACCTATTCTGCTTTGAGGCTGAGAGATTGGTAGAAACGTCAAATATCTGATGTCTACTTATTCTGCTTTGAGGTTGAGATATTGGTAGAAACATCAAATATCTGGCATCTACCTGTTCTGCTTTGAGGCTGAGAGATTGGTAGAAACATCAAATATCTGGTGTCTACCTATTCTGCTTTGAGGCTGAGATATTGGTAGAAACATCAAATATCTGGTGTTTACCTGTTCTGCTTTGAGTCTGAGAGATTGGTATAAACATCAAATATCTGGTTTCTACCTATTCTGCTTTGAGGCTGAGATATTGGTAGAAACATCAAATATCTGGTGTTTACCTGTTCTGCTTTGAGGCTGAGAGATTGGTAGAAACATCAAATATGTGGTTTCTACCTATTCTGCTTTGAGGCTGAGATATTGGTAGAAACATCAAATATCTAGTGTTTACCTGTACTGCTTTGAGGCAGAGAGATTGGTAGAAACATCAAATATCTGGTGTTTACCTGTACTGCTTTGAGGCAGAGAGATTGGTAGAAACATCAAATATCTGGTGTCTACCTATTCTGCTTTGAGGTTGAGATATTGGTAGAAACGTCAAATATCTGATGTCTACCTATTCTGCTTTGAGGCTGAGATATTGGTAGAAACCTCAAATATCTAATGTCTACCTATTCTGCTTTGAGGTTGAGATATTGGTAGAAACATCAAATATCTAATGTCTACCTATTCTGCTTTGAGGTTGAGATATTGGTAGAAACATCAAATATCTGGCATCTACCTGTTCTGCACCAAGGCTAGGACATCAAATATCTGATTTCTTTACTTCTCTGATCAAATACTAGTACATGAATCTGGTTTATA